GTGGAGTAGTAATAGTAATAATACAAGCAGGTAAAATTTCCAACAATGAACTTCGCGGCACAGAAGGCTTCTTAAGTCGAAAATCATAAGAAGGAAACCTTCTGACGCTGAGAAATGTTTCGAAAACTTGCATGGATCAAGCGAAGTCTTGGGACAAAGATAATCCGACTTGAAGTAAGAACACGGAAGAGACACTGCCTGAAAACGTTTACTTGCATAACTGAACAATGAACAATGATGAACAATGATTTATAACGGGTAAATAGCAGGTGCTTGACATGTCCAGTAGGGTATTTAGCGTGACAAAAAGAAGATAGCGAAGCGGTAATGGAGTTGTCAGTTCAGACGCTCACAGATCTAACTGCACTGTCGTATAAAAGGAGTTTGAAATGAGAATGTACGCACACAAGGCAACAGGGGAGTGGTTATTGTTCACATCGTAGGCGAGAAAAATAAAAAAGATAGCAAGGACAACGCTTACCCGTGTGCAACTATCTTGGATCGACAGGATACAGAAATCCAGTTTCTATAGTAGTAGCGTTTATCAAATTTCGTGCAACGGGTTTGGAGTGACTCATTCTCGAGTAGGGTTGTAGCACTATCCACTGCCTGTTGTGCATTAGTGCCAGCATCTGGTGGTCATGTCTACATCACGTAGTGTAAATGTGACAGGGTATCGTCAAGGCGATTTTTGAAAAGGGATAGGGTGGGTGCATTAATTACATGTTCCGGGAGGACGTTCCAAGGCTGTGCCACTCGAAGGGAGAAATAGTTTCGCCGACATTCCAGGCGGCTGTACTGCGTGACTAACTTAAATTGGTGACCTCTTAGCGGAATGTTTTGACTGAGTGTTAGCAGGGAATAGCATGGGTGGTTGGGGTCTCTCAGGATCTGGTACACCATTATGAGATCGCCCCTTAGACGCCGCTAACGTCCACTGTATATTTTGAGTGCCTCCAACCTGAGTGGGTAAGGGAGGCTGGTCAAACCTCTGACGCTCTTCGTTGCCCTACGTTGTGCCGTATCGAGCGCGGTGAGATGGTGCTTGAGCCAGGATTGCCAAGCTAGGATGGCGTATTCCGCGTGCAGCCTCACGTACGCACTAAGAATTTTTGGAAAGACTGAAGGGTGAAACTTCCCGACGGCTCTGCGAAGAAGGCCGAGGTGTTGGTTCGCTTTCTTAGATGCCTTTTCAGTCTGCCTCGAACAACCGAGGTCATCTTGAACTATCACGCCGAGATCGCCCTCGTGAGAAGCCCGCTGTAGAATTTTTGGTCCTAGGCGGTAGTTGTGAATATTCTTGTGCCGTATACTGAGAACTTTGCACTTGGTGACGTTGAAATACAGCATGTTCTCGATGAACCAAGTGTGCGCTTTGTCCAGGTCCTCCTGTAACAATGTGTGATCCTCCACTGCAGCTATAGCGCGCCATACCTTTACGTCATCAGCAAATAGAAAACAGTTAGAAGATAGCACACTCGCGAGATCATTTATGAAAACCAGGAACAGGCGGGGTCCAAGTACCGGGCTTTGAGGTACGCCGCACTGAACTTCGATGGATTCTGATAGCTTACTTCTAACCCTCACATTTAGGTGACGTTGCACGAGAAAGTCTCCTATCCAGCCCAGAACAGGATTGCTGATTCCATATTTCTGGAGTTTGTGGTGGAGAATGCGATAGTCTATACGGTCGAATGCCTTTGAGAAATCCAAGTAGGCCGCGTCGAGTTCTACACCAGCGTCCACAGATTCCGTCTAGCATGCACGAGCAATCAACAGATTAGTGGTACAGGACCGATTTTGGCAAAATCCGTGCTGCTCCGGTACGAGAATTTTGTTGTTCTCCAGGTACCCCATCAAAGCCTCAGCTACAATGGACTCAATAACTTGGAAATCACAGGAAGTAGTGTTATCGGGCGATAATTTGCTAGCTCAGCACGACTGCCACTTTTGTAGATAGGCGTGATGATTCCGTGCATCCACATCGTGGGGACGTGCATCTCGTTCAGACATCGTTGAAAAAAAATTGCTAGTGGTCCTGCCAAACTTATAGCAGCAACTTTCAACGTCTTCGGACGAATGCCGTCCGCACCCGGGGAGCTGAACTCGCGCAGAGACATCAGCCTCTTCAGTACAGCTGCGGAGGTGAATGAAATGTGATTAAGCCTTGGTGGCGGAGTTAACTGCTTAGGCAGGATGTATGATGATTGCGCGCTTTGGAAGGTACGGCCAAATTGTTGTCCAAGGACGTTGGCTGCCTCTTGTGCGGTTTGGGCTAACCCACGTGCTGTGTGCAGAGCAGGAATACCGCGTTTAACACGGCGCAAATTGTGTACGTGTCTGTATAGCAGTTTGGGATTGGAGCAAAACTTTTCCACTAGACCTTGTTGGTTCTTAAGTTTATCCTCCCGAACGAGTTTGACACAGTGGTTTCTTTGTACTGTGTAGACATCCCAGGTATGATCGTTCGGGGTGGCTATATAAGTGTGACATGCCAAGTCCCTTAATGCCATGCACTTACGTGTCCTGCTCCTAACGAAAGACTTCATCCTTTTAGGCCGGTAGACTTTAGTTTCAGATGTCCTTGCCACGAGCTTGGTAAATATGTTGATGAATTCAGCGCAGGCCACCTCGGGGGTTAATTCAGTTAAGAACGACCAGCTGATTGCATCAATGAGGTCGGACAGGTCGTCATAGTTGGTTACGACACGATATTCCTCGGTATGCTCTATTGGATAATCCGCGTAGCACATGTAATGAAACAATAGCGTCGCATGATCACTGCGGCCCAAAGGAGTATCGGTTATTACTTTCTTGACCATTAATTCTTCATTGGTGATTATTCGGTCCAATATGGATGGCCTGTCAGTTCCCCTGAATCTGGTGGGCGTAGTGACGTGGCCAAAATGAGGGTAATCTGAAACCAGATCTTGCAACTCTGCTTTGAATTGCTCTCCTGGTGTGGCCTGGGATTCGAGGGCATGTAAGTTGAAGTCACCGGTGATTAGAATGTGACTGTACTTCCTGTTTATCACTTGCCTCAACGCAGCCATCAAATTGCAGTCCATCTCAGGAGTAGACGATGGTGGGCGGTAAACAACAACTAGTTGACCAAGATCGTTCCCCCTTAGCCGGAAATTATACCAAATGACGTCAGATACGTCGGTTTCCGAATCTTTTATGGGTTCGCATTGCATGTTGTTGTGAAACTAATGGGCTACCCCACCGCCTTTGCTGGTTCGATCCTTCTGGACAACGGACACGCCTGTTAGTGCAATTTCAGCATCGGTTATCTCGCAGCGCAACCACGTTTCGATGACAGCGATGAGGTCTCAAGTTGCAGACGAGTGTCGAAGTCTTAATTCAGCTAATTTGCTGAGTAGACCTTGGGCATTTGTGTACAAGCATGAGAGCTTCTCGGAGACCAAAAGTGTGTTAGATTGGATGGATGAAGCAAATGAGTTTAGGCTGACCGTTAAAGCGTCGGCGACTAATCGTTTTTTGGATGGGTTGCATACTCTCGAAAAGTATTTGATATATAAGCAGGTATCAGATGTCCCGTATCTCGGTGTTTGCTCGTGCTCTGCTGTGCCCCTCCGGATAGTATGGCTACTCTTGAAGTTACGTGATCCATGTAACAAAATACTCATCTAGATATTTGACAGTGGATGAAATTAGCATGGATTGTCCTCCAAGGTTAATAGATGAGAGGTACTTAGAATTACTCACAACTTATCAGCCAATCATTCAACGACAGACCATTCTGCTCATTTTTAAAGCTTAAGTACAGCAGAATTTTGTTCACGCGGTTTTAGAATGCTTCTTCCGACATGGAAAAGCTTTTTGTGGTACTCCGAAGCAGGTGTGGGGATAAAGCACATAATGACAATTGGGCACAGATGCATAAAAGTAGTAAAAAAAACAGACAAAACGGACGCGATATGTGAATCAAGTGAAATCGAGGTACCCATATTGTCAAGTCGAACGAAACAGGATCGCAGCAATTAATGTGTATAATTACTGACTTATTAGTGAATGCCTAGCAACATAAGTAAGTAGGGATACATCACAGAATATGGTTAGTGGTGAAGGCGAAACAAACACTGCTCAAAACGAATAGCTTTGCGAATAACAGTGAGGTAGATGGAAAATATGGTCTAAGAATATGCGGAATCAATAGCTTGCCTGTCGCAGTTTGGCCGCGTTTGTGTTGTCCGAGATAATGAAGCACTTCAGAGTACAAGGGATAATTCAGTGCAGAGCATCATGATGCAGTGTTCTTTGGGCTCCTACGTCCTTTATGGCCAATCCCACCTCTGATTACCTATTGTAGAAACTTCCAACGCCTGCGCCCAAACTTATGTGGGGATGGGTGGTAAACAGAATACAAAACGCATGTTAAATGCGGAATGGCCTGTACCTATGGAAACTGTGCGTTGTTTAGTGTTCTTACAATTAGAAGTGTGGTACTGACCTGTGTCGTTCAATTAAGGTCTTAAAACTGGCAAGTCCGGTTTATTCATATTGTATCGGCTAGCGGAATACCCAATGGCGCATGACAACTTCGTCCAGCTCAACCAGTTCCCATAGGGAGCGTCAAGTTACTTATCTTTTCGCTATCTTACTACAAAAAAGAAATGGCGTTTAATGATTCCATTCGTTCCCTACACTGTGACTTATCAAAGGTAGTCACCTGTTTGTCTACGTCATCCAAATTTGGGGCTTCGTCTTCTCGCGCAGCAAATTATCAAGTTTATCTCTTACCGTATTTATACCGTCCTTTTGTGAACCAACAGAAAGTTAGTTACAACACGCGTGAACGTTCACTCTGTTGATATACATACACCCATGTTTTACTTTTTCAGCCTTTGTTTGTAATTTTAGATCAGTACAATGTTAGTGTAAAATACTGCTGATGTTCTTACTTTGACTTCATTTGACCTGAGTGCCACAATCCAAACTATCCATAAGCGTAACTAAAAACCACCTTTACATTTCAGGATTTTACCGAATGATCGCTTGACGGACGAGCTGCAGTATGGTTGTCAGTTTAGTCCATGTAAGCCAGTTTCACCAGTCCCTCACGGCATATTTTGGTTCCATTCCCTTGCACCAATGTACACACGTTATTACTCGTTTTGTGCCCGTCCAATCGGATTAAGAAATAAACGTGTGATACACCAGTTTCTTAATCATATCAAAAGCAAATCGCTCAAAGGTGGTTGTTGGAGAACATCACCAAAGCGCAGGGAAAGCACAGAAAGTTACCCGCAGGCCTCAAGGCCAGAGATGGTACCAACCATCCTCCGGAAAGGTGATTGTCAGGTGACTAGTCATAGTGAATCGGTGTGTACGTCGGTCGAAATGCTGTGTTCACATGCCTTCAGGTGGTCACTGATGGCAGTTACTTAGCCGGGTACTTATCAATATGCACCTTATGTTTTCATGGCGCAATATTGAATGCAAAACTACATCCCTTTCTGTTAACGGTACGAGCGTCCCTTTCCTAGCAGCCCGGAACAATTGGCTATGACGCAGGCCGAAGCTTATTGACTAACCAATAAGAGCGGGCTAAGGACGACGGTTCACCTTGAACGCTACCAATAAGGATGGTCTCCTTGAAGTCTGTCAGTGAGCGGTAGGCCATTCCCTTCTTAATCATTGATTCGAGCCCCTTATTTGATTTATCTATACTGCTTGCATGGTATGCGACGAACTTTCCGTCTGAGGCCTTTCTCTTCTAAGCTGGAAAGTTGGTCGGTCAGCTTTCGCGGTAGCAGTATGTTATCCGTACAGTCAGCGGAAACCACAACTTACTAATTCACCAATTTTAAGAACTTATAACACAGGTCCTGTAACGACCGCACAGTTGGTTACAAAAGTAGCCCAAAGGTCTTCGTCGTAAAGTTGCTCAGTGAAAATAGCTGAGAATAAAATTACGGTAATCACACAGCAGAGAACCTCATGAAGACTATGTAGATGACACAGATCTTGGACTGCAACCGGGTTATTGCGTTTGGCTTAGACCACACGTTATTCCAGTGATCCATTAATGAGTAAGGACATGATTACTTCAGCGTTAGCAGGTCGAATACATACTAAATCGAATAATGCGCTTTACAACGGTCACAGAAAGGCAAGCTAACCACGATGAGAATTGCACGCTAGCAAACAGAGGTCAATGAACCAAAACATGAGTTACTGAACTCACCAGTTGCTTTGCATTAGCACAAGAGCAAGTACTGTTGTTGGAATTTTGCTGTGGCCTAATGGGTACGCCGTGTATTTCTCGTTTAGGTCATTATCTGATAAACTGGTAGTCAAGTCAACATAAACTTTAAATACCCGTGTAAGAGCATTTTCAGCAACTACCACTAACACTGCGGACAAACTACAACAAAGAATCGGTGGGAAATGGTGTGAATTGACAAGAACAATAATGAGTTCATTTTCAATTAAGCAAACGTGCTCGCAGTAGTATGTTTTCAATTTAGAATGAGTCAATAGAGGCAGAATCTGAGTAAGAATTCTTTTCAGTATTTCTCATCAGACTTAGTTACTGGATGACGAAAAAATGCTATATGTGCCGGATTGGGCTGCGTATTGATCAGAATAAATCAGGAATAAATCAATAAATCACGGGTCCTTGAAGGTGGCAAATGATGTAGAGGGAAAAAATCACAGCAGATGTTATAGACCAGCGTAGAAGAAAAGAACGTACAGCTTTTGTACGCACGATTCTGGCTTGAGCTGGAGGATGTAGATAGCATCCACTATAATTTGCCACCCTCAAGGACCCCGTGATTTATTGATTTGTTCCTGTTGGAATTAAACATTCTGATCAACACGCAGCCCAATCCGGCACATATAACACTTCATCGTCATCAGGTAATGTTTGAGTCTGATTAGAATTACAAAAATGGATTCTTTACTCAGATTCTGCCTCCCTCGATGCATTCCAATAACGGAATTTTTGGATTGCTGGTGATCAGCATTCCCCGTGATTCAATCAAAATGTCAAATTGTCGTTCGAATAGTGTCCAGGCACGCTAACCACATAAATGTTAGCAGTATTTCAACTCATTGCTATCTACTACTAAGTAGTTCGTCAAAGGCCGACCAAATCCTCAGTAGTGCGACTTCGAGCTACGAGCCCCGTCTACAACGCTTTTCAGGAAGTAACCCGTATGCATTTCCGAATGCAGCATACTACTCTGAGTAGTAAACGAAGTAAATAATCTCAGGAACTAATTGCTTGTTCACATGAATCCAGAAAGAATGCAGGCATGGCACGTTGGCAGAAACAAACGTCCTTTTATTGCACAAATCGCTGCATAAAGGTGAGTCGACAACACTTATGTAAACGCTGTTTGGGATGAAAGAATTAAGGGTTGTGTGCATAAGCAATTTTACTGACGTACCTGTGATTATGAAGTAAAATAAAACATAGGAATAGGAGAAAGGACTTGCATTTAGATACCGAAATTATTCACCGTATTCAACTCAAACAGGCTACGCTCATTCATCTGTGTAGTATGCGGTAAGTTAAAACCAAGCGACCGGGTATGTGTGCCATTCAAGTCGATATCAAGTCGTCAAGACCATCTTATTGCACCCAAATAGGTTAATTTTCCACCTTTTACAATCTGATCAGCAGATGGACTATTGAGGTCATCAGAACTAGAACATTTTTACCGATGGATAGGCAAAAAGAATGCACTGTCATCACTCTAGTAAACGGCACTGCTTTTGAGAGCAACAATCCCACAATGCCGAAGAAAAAGTCGAGATTTGCATCCAAAACAGAGTAATAATTGGTTACAACTCCCTTCATAGTTAGTTTCAGCTGGCGTAAACTTTCGTGTCTAAAAGCAATGCATCGTGAATCGTGCGCAGTATCACCGGAGCGTTAGGTTCGCGAGGGCAAAATGTCAGGAATACGGGTGATCTCCGGTGGTGGGTAAGAAGGACAGTTCGGGTTTGGGTGAAAATCTTTTCATTCTACATTTAAAACCCTGAATCCAAAGTGCGTTATGGTAATGAAGATGATTATGCAACCATAGACCAGGTTAATGAAAGGCTTTGCTTGAACAATATATCCCCAGAAAAAAGAATTCCTACCACCTGATTAACAGTAAAACGGCTCAGCACATCACACCGCGTCTGTGTGTGCCAGGAGTAATAACGTATGTGAACTGTGGGTGACATTCATCAGTAGAACTAAAACACAGCATCCAAATTTAAAATTCCAGTCACCCCAGAGCCTGGCGGTCCCTTGTATGTCAGCCTTTGCATTCAAAGGGTGGATTGAGTAGGACGGTCTCAGTGACCTTCGCAAAAGTTGTGCAAAGATTAGGTTAGAGATTTCTTTCAAACCGAGATATCTGCGGTAGAAAAGATAGATGTTCGGCGAAAAAACGGCTGATGTAGAGGCCCCACCGTTATAAAAGTACGAGGAATATGGAAATTAGGCAGTTAAATCAGCTTCAAAATGTGGTCAATAGTGGCAACCTGTACGATAATTGTGGATGCAAATGTGAATTAAATTTATACTACTAATAAATAGTCAATAGCAGTCAATCAGTGAATCAGGGACTCACGACTAGTTTAAAAAATTGCTCTCCACCCCTTTGGCAGGTGAATATCATAATGCTAAACTGACGAGTAACAGTGGTTACCCGAGGAACCGGGAAAAATCACAAGGGAGCAGTACTTCCAGTGGGGAAGAACACACGCACTGACAAAGCGGAGGAGTAACTCACGAGCGACGAGAGGCGTTGAACAACATGACTTATGAAAGTTTCATTTACAAAAGTACAGGATAAATACTAGTTGAGTACCACACCTAGATACTTCACTGATGTAGCAGTCTAATCCATCGCCGTCAATAGACAGTTTTGGCTACTGAGTAACTAGCTGCACGTACCTGGCTCCTCTGCGTAGCGGAAAAAGAATATAATGGTATTCAAATTCTTGAAAGCTACTTGGAACCGATCGAGTAGTCATGAGTTCAGAGAGGTTTGGAAACAATCGGTTGGTATAGTAGTTTGGTAACGTTTCGCCCTTGACACAAGAGCTTCGTCAGACCAGGTGAAGCATTGCAATTGGGGTGGGATTTTTATAGCGAACAGGGACGATAACCGCGTTACCCGAGACTTGAGTCATGATGTCATAACAGCAACCGTTCGTGATGTCACCTCAGGTGGTTTAAACACAGTGGTATTCGCTATTCGCTATAAAAATCCCACCCCAATTGCAATGCTTCACCTGGTCTGACGAAGCTCTTGTGTTAAGGGCGAAACGTTACCAAACTACCATACCAACCGATTGTTTCCAAACCTCTCTAAACTCATAATATCATGGTATCTTCGTGCATTAAGGGACAAATGATGAGCTTCGGACCAAACATTGAGGACGGTGGAAGGTCTTGCAAACTAAACGAGCAATCGGTGGTTCGATGATTGATACGCAGAATGATATCGGCAGTATATTTTAGTGGGGTAGATTCTGTGGAGGCTGTTATTGAGGTGACGTAAGTAGAAAAGAGGAAACGTGATAGAATTGCTACCTAAAGAACACCGGGGTTGATGATTAGTGAGAAGTATCTGCCACTAAGTCGGGTAATCTGAGTACTTCCAGCAAAATACTCGCTTAGCAAATGGACGATGGGAAGATGTATTCCTTGAATAAGTAGACCTTGTAACAGGAATTCGCGGCTTACACCGCCGAATGCGTTGCTGTTGTCAAGAAAGCACATTCGTTGAGTTATTTCTGTAGTCAAGTGACGATAGTATAGCATGTATCATGCAGACCACAGCATCTAGCGTATATCTCGAAGCATGATAAGCAAATTGAAGGGGGTGCTTCGAGCAAGTTTTGGACAGCACCATTTCAAGAATGATTTACTCAAGAACATTCAAGGCAACAGAAGTGCAAGCGATAGGTCGATATTTATTGGATCCTTTGTTCGGCACTGATGTGGTGTTGATACTACACCAGCGGTCAGCGATCTTGTGTTGTTGCATGTACATTGTGTATATGGACTCAAGAGGCATTTTCAAGAACGGCACATCCTTTGGGAACGATGGAACATAGTCTGTCCGGACCGCCTGCTTTAGCGGAACTTAGGCGCTTTAGTAAATTATACCGTTACACTGTCGACAGAAGGCAATAAATCTACAGACACCAGAACTTGGGAACAGGAAAGCTCTGGGGCTATATTAGTATCGCAGACACAGAAACCCTGGTTTAGAGCGCACGTCGAGTACGGCCGCTAAGTTATCAGAACATCAGATTAGATAGCTAGTCAAATTGTCACAATCCTTTGTACCATAGGGGCAAAAGTGGACAAAATTATGTGCATGCAACCATTCCACGCGGTCAGTAGATATTTTGTGAATAGCACTGCCTTCACCTGAACATTCAATCATTGCAGAGAGTAATATCTTGGTGGTTTGCCTTGCTATAGTAGACAGAAGAAATCTTCATTGTTAAGTGGCCGGAATTGGAAATCGGATCCCGATTAGATACAGAAAACCAATATACATTATTAAGGGACACTAGGTCCAGGGTTGCGTCTAATCTGGTGGGTAAATTAACGATGTTACGTAACCCCAGATTGGTGCGAAATGGCATCAAATCTGTTGAAATCTCCGGTGAAGCTACTTAAGGGAACGTCAATGTGTTCTATGGCGGCTGCCGTAAATGCACCATAAAAACCCTGTGTTTAGGATAGGTGGGAGATATATGGATGTTAGTCAACAATAGTGAGCGGTAACCACTCAAACACCTCGGCCTGTAT